CTTAAGCGATACTGTTGGACGGGATCGCGCGCTGGCACTGCACCAGAGATAAGAAGACCAACCTGTGCTGTGACCGAGATATTTGGCCTGGAGCCCCGCGTGCGCAGCCCTGTGGAGGCTGCGTCGACTTCCGTCGCGGGCCTGCCACGGCGTGGTCTGACAGCTGCCCCGAGCCCGCGGCAGACCTGGCGGCGTGGCTGGTCAGCCCGCCGGTCCCGGCCGCCGTGTTAGCCCTGTCGGCCGCCCGCGCCGCGCCGGCTGCCTGCGGCGGTCGTCTGACACGCCGCCTCTTCTCCGCCAGCTTCCTGGACCACAACGCCATCCGCAACGTGACCAGGGGCTGGCTGTTCGGCGTGCGGCGGCTGCGCCAGCTGGGCCTCAGCCACAACCGGGTCCACTGGCGGACGTCGGATTGGCTCTACTGCCGGCAGCTGTCGCGGCTGGACCTGGCGCACACAGCTCATGCCGTGGACGAGCACACGTTCGCCAAGCTGCCCCGACTACCGAACTCGTGCTGGACCACAACCGCATCGCGCTCATCGAGGGATGAACGCGTCTGCGCGACTCGCCCCGGGACCTGAGCGGTGTTGATGAATAGTCTGTCGAGGGCGGGCGGCGCCGGGCTGACAGGGCGAAGGAGTACTGTAGCGGGGAGAAGACCAGTTAGCGGCCGGCGCCGTCTGTTAGGGGTGGGGGGATGTCTCTCCGGCGTATCCGATTGTTAGGAGTGAGGGGATTGTCGCTCCGGCGCATCAAATTGGTGGTGTCTGTTTAAGATTTCCCCACCGAATTTCGAACGAACACGTTTAAAGTTGTGTGATCATCCTATCGGTATTTTGGGGCGAATGGCATGTAGTTGCGCGTTAGGTTATTACTCACGTGGCTGGGGCTAGCTGGCTGACCTGATAGAGTAAGTATGCGCCATGTCCTGCACCACTTCGCACCCAACGACGACTAACGCCGCGCATCTCGCGCCGCCGCAGTGAGCTGAACAACAACCTGATCTCGTCGACGATCGAGGACCGGAGCGGGGCGTTCGCGGGACTGTCGGAGCTGACGCGGGTGGGCCTGCGCCACAACCGGATCATGTCCGTGAGCGGGCAGCCGTTCGCCGGCGCGCCCGCCCTGCAGGAGATCGACCTGGCCGAGAACGCGCTCACCACGGTGCACGAGTCGTCGTTCAGCGGCCTGCCGCAACTGCGCACGCTCGTCATCGACTCCAGCAGCCTGCTGTGCGACTGCGCCGTGCGCTGGCTGCCGGCGTGGGCGCGCGCCGCGGGCCACGCGGCCACCGTGACGGCGCACTGTCACCACCCGGAGCGGCTGCAGGGCCGGCCGCTGCTGGAGGTGCCGGCCGAGAGTCTCACCTGCCAGGACTCGCCCAAGCCGGCCATCCGCCTGCAGCCGCGCACTGGCAAGACGCTGAAGGGCGATAATATGACGCTAAGCTGTGAGGCCGAGTCGTCGGCAAACGACACGATGCAGTTTGGCTGGCGCAAAGACAGCCAGCCGGTGCCGGTCGGTCGGGCCGTCACGCGCGCCTGGGCGCACGCCGACGGCCGGGCCCGGGCCGCGTCATGCGCTCCGAACTGCGCGTGGCCAACCTGACGGACGCCGACGCCGGCCAGTACCAGTGCGTCGTCTCCAACAAGTTCGGTGTGACCGTACTCTGACAAGGCCACCATCGACGTGCACGGTCAGTTGGCGGGGTGCGGCGGCGGCCGCTGTTGCCACCGCGCCGACGGGGTGGCGGCTTCGCCGGCCACGCGATGCTGACGCGGATGGGCGCTGCTCACGGGTGCCAGGCCGGGTGGGACAGTTGTCTTCCGTGTGGCTTTGTGCTATGGTTGATATGGGCCTAGACGGCCTGCCACAGCCGCTACCCCGCATTGGGTGCACGCATGGGCCACGCTGGAAGGGTGTTTGCTCTGCCATTGGTTAAGATTGGGGACGCTGTTTGTGTCCGCGTTGGAATGCTTCATGTCACGTGTTGCCACCGTCGACACCAGGTCATCGGGTGTCGCGTGCTCCCCCTCCCCTCCCCATGCCGGGTAATGGCGCCACGCTCGGCGCGTGCTGCGATGCTGATGGTGTTGACGCCGTGCTCCCGTGCTCTCGGCAGTGTTCCCGGTGTTCACGCTGCGCCCGGAGAGTCTCCAGCTACGCGCCGGCAGCACAGCCAAGCTGGAGGTGTAAGGCCATGGCCAGCCGGCGCCCACCATCGCCTGGCAGAAGGACGGCGGCTCCGACTTCCCCGGCCGCCCGCGAGCGGCGCATGCACGTGCTGCCCTCCGAGCACGTGTTCTTCATTGTGCGCGTGCAGCCGGCCGACCAGGGCACGTACACGTGCCGCGCGAGCAACGACGCCGGCGAGATCCAGGCCAACGCCACGCTCAGCGTGCTAGGTGAGGAGGCAGCAGCGCCGGGCTGGTGGTCGTTCTCCGGCCGGCGGCACGGACACGCAGCGACTGGGACAGCGACCGGCAGCCTCCTAGCCTGGCTGTCAGTCGACTGTTGCCATCGTGGGATCGTGAAGGCGGGAGGGAGTTCGTTACCCATCTGACCGGACCTGTAGATCCCCGAATGGTTCGCCTGCCTTCGCGAACTAGGAGCTGGTTGTAAACAATTTGAGCTCAACAGTATGAAGATTACTGTGATGCATGTTATACTCCTGCTAGTATCACTTCCCGCTGTTTCAGTCCTATCATGACGCGTTCTTCAGCCTGTCTATATACTTTGTCATCAGCATGGTGGACCTGCATTAGGGATCTGTGTGTGGCCCGGACGCTGTCCTGATACTAACAGTGTTGCCAGCGCTGTGGCCCCGACACTGTCATGACATTAACGATGTTCCCAGCGCGTGTGGCCCTGACACTGTCCTGATACTAACAGTGTCCCCAGTGCGTGTGGCCCTGACACTGTCCTGATACTAACAGTGCCCCCAGTGCGTGTGGCCCTGACATTGTCGTGACACTAACCGTGTTCCCATCGCGTGCACCTGGACGCCACCCGTTGACGGCCTGCGATGCTTCCTGTATGCTCCGGCGCCTTACCTGCCTTCTGCCGTGACATTTCTCACCCCTCTCTCTGACCGCAGAGGTGCCGTCGTTCGTGCGGCCCATGGAGCACCGCCAGGTGGTGGCCGGCGAGACGGCCGTACTCGACTGCATGGCTTCCGGCTCGCCGGCGCCGCGGCTCACCTGGACCAAGGACGGCGCGCCGCTGCTCGCCACAGAGCGACACTTCTACACGGCCGGGCAGCAGCTGCTCATCATCGTGCAGACGACGCCGGCCGACGCCGGCTCGTACGAGTGCCAGCTAAGCAACGTGCTCGGCGAGGAACGCGGCAGCGCCACGCTCACAGTGCTGCCAGGTGAGACGGACCCCGGGCCCGCGCGCGGTCTGGCTATCCCGCTTGTGTCCACGTCCGGTGGATGACTGGGGCCTTCGGATGGCGCCCGCGGGCAGGGAGCGTGGCGTTGTCAGAATGCTGGTGAATGACAGAATTAAGGCTCGTGTTGTTGTCGGCTTGACTCGTGCCGAGGTGACGTTAAACGGTTGAAGTTCTTATTAATTCCGGTGGCAAAGGAACGGTTTCTTGGAAAATATGTTGCAAACTGTGATTTCGATCATCGCCGGACTTTCTGAATGCTAGCTCGCTCCGTAAGGTGTCTCGAGGTCTCGGTTGTGGATCTCGCCCTCTTCGGCAACGTCATGAGTGTCTTCCGGTCGTGATGTTGGCTCAAGTAGCGCTGCCACTGCCCACCTCAAACTTGCCTTGTCCTGGCAGGCCCATCGTTCGGGCTGGACGACGACTCGACATACGCCATCATCATCATCGCCGTCGTGTCGGGCGTGGTGGTTACCTCCCTCGTCTGGGTCATCATCATCTACCACGCGCGCAAGCGCTCGCTGCGTCAGCTGCGCGCGCGCGCCGCCACCGCCGCCTTCGCCGCCGGCGCCGACCGGCAGCTGTCGCCGCCGCCGCCGCGCGCCGTGGCCGTCTACGCGTCGGGTGCGGCCGCATCGCTGCTGGAGCGGCGCGCCTCCAGCGTGCAGCTGTACACAGGCGACGACGGCTCGGAGCACAGCAGCGGCAAGGACAGCGGCCAGGGCGGCCACGACGAGGCGACGCTGGAGGCGGTCGTGGCCGTCGCCGACTCGGATGACGAGGGCGTGGGCGGCAACGCCGCTGCTGGAGCGGCGGCCGCGCGTGCTTACGACGTTTCAGGGGGCGCTGGCGCCGGCGGCCGGCCGCGAGAGCCTGCAGACTGTGGTACCGCGCCACTTGTACACTGAGCGTCGGCTGCCGGCCGTCCGCGCCCGGCCCACTGAGGTGTGAGGGCCGCGCCAGCCGCGCGGTCCACGGTGTGCCATCGTGTCTGTTTCGGGGCGGCGACCGTGGCGTGAGCCGCTCCTTCCCCTCCCTCCTTTCCCCCACCGGTGGCAGCTGGCTCGGTGTTGACTGTCTAGGCGACCTTCCTCGTATTTATTGCCGACGTATCAGATGACATATCTTCTTCGTCAACGCTTTCCGTGTAGTGCTCCGCCTTTCTATCAGCTTTGCTGTCGTTACCGGTGCCGTGTTTTACCCTGTAGGCAGAATGTTATTGGTCGCTGTCACACTGTCAGCTGACCAGCGCGTGGCGCTGATTGGTGTACCCATTGTGACGTCGGCCCGCGCGTGACGTTCATTGGTGTAGCTATCGTGCCGTCAATCGGAGCCTCCGGGAGGACGCTCCTTTGATCTGGTGCAGCCAGGCTGCCCGATCGCAATGCATGTGATATATTATTTATGTACAAATAGTTATTATGAAGTTTGAATCCAGTCCAGACGTAACATGATGGTGCGTGCGCGCCGAAGCTGCGGTGTGGAGAGCGGAAGACGAGGAGGAGCCGAGTAGATGTGTAGTGTAGCTGTTCGTGTGTCGACGTTGTAATATTATTGATTCGTGTACGTTGTGGGAGTGAAGGGCGCACGGAGGGTCCCGTAAAGTATTTTCGTGGTCGATGTGAATAAGTGTGGAGAGAAGAGTAATGTCTGTAATACAGGAAATCGTGACACTACACCACCGACTCTGTCTTCCCGCTCAGCCTGACGGAACACCACTCTACGTTATACTCAGCTGAACTACAACGAAGTCGGCCGGGCGTCCAGTTGGCCGAGCTAACGCCTGAAGGGCAGGGTTGAGGCGCGGCTGTTAGTCGCTGTCGCTTCCGCATTCGCAGCAGGTACCTTCAGGAAATACGCACTGATTTATTGCACTTTTATGACTTCGTAAATTTTTGATGTGCAAGGCTATTCGTTGCCGTGACATGTGCTGGGAAATTATTGCATACCATCCGGTGGTACTGGGTGCGTGGTAATGCCACGCTTGTGGTTTACCTCGTGGCTGTGAAATATAACTTTGGTTATGAAACTGAACGCTAGATGGCAAAATATTTGTTACAGTCAATATGTAGATGGTATTTCAGCACAACCAGGAGGCACCAGCATTCTGGTGCACTGCCACTGAAACGTATCAGGGGCTTTGTGCTTGTGAGTGCCTAACAAAACCGACGCATTACCGGACTTCCATTTTGAGTTTACCTTCTAGATATCTGGGTCACCACTCACTTTTAGGGCGAGTTTCTCTAAAATTCGCTAGAAGATGGTATTTGAACTACGGCAGCTTAGCTTTGCTTAACTAACAAGGAACACCAACATTCGACCTCGGTTCTATGGTTGCCAACCACATGTATTAGTTATGTGGAAAGGTGTAATCTATCAGTAAACCTGCTAACCGCACGGAACCGGGAACTTCATGCATTTTTGCATGCTCTGCGGGCAGCTTTTCGATGCATACAGAACGAACGCAATGCCAGGTAGCCGGAACACTCACTCATTTCCTCCCAAGATTCATGCCCAGCTTCCCTCTGCTAAGGCATCTCGCCCGTGGGTCATTTGGACTAGTAAGGCGCACGTTCAGGCCAATGCTATTAAGAGCAGGGAAACAAACAGTTGGACGCCTGGAGCATTGTCACATCTTTATCTCATACGGTTTGACCGTCCAGTTAGCACGCGCCCGGATGGCCGGTTACATACCCTTCGCTCGGATGGGGGCTCTATATGATCCCCTTGAGATCTCAGAAACTAAGAGAGCTAGATGCACCAAATTCACAGGGTGTGCTGGCCTGTACGTGAACTCATTTGTGCCAACATTTGGTGTTTCTAGGTTACGACCTTCGTGTCAAATGAGGTCAAGTAAGGACAAACTTCAGACTGGTGCCAAAAGTGTCCCAGAACCTAATACCCTTCTAAGCCAAAGATCTCAGGTGTTAATTTAAAGTCAGTTACCTTGATTGACATTTCGGAGGTCATGGTGACCAAAATCATACAAGACCGCTTGGAGTTTTGCATTTGAATACGCATTAATAATTGCGCTTGCCAGGATGATGCTAAAAACAAAAAGGTTGATCTGGGTAATTTTTGGTCAGTGACCCGTCATGACCTTCAAGAAGTCTGTGGAGGATGTATAATCCGGTTCCTATTACAAGTAAATTCGAAAAGAGTACCTGAAACTAACTCATACAGCAAGCTCCACAAAAATAAAACAGGTTGGTTTTGAACTAGATCTGACTTTCATATCCTAGCTTCGATCAGTGGAATTTGCTCATTCAGTGACCTCAATAGGTACCTATAAATTTGGTACCAAACGATTTTCTATTTCATTGTTAACAGTCACGTAAAAGTTGGAGCGGCTACGCCGTGCCATTCGGAAGCGATTGCGGAAAACCTTCGGATGGTCAAGTTGATCCCCACCCGAGCGCGTATTAGCCAATGGTCAACAATGCCGGATGGAGTCGGAATAAATTCAATACAAACGAAGTTTTACTCTACGCAATATGAAACCAATGCCTTTGCAACATCTTACTGCATCGATGCCAAGGTAAAAAGTAATGCTCACAAGGACCGCAGATCAAAGAGGCAAAGAAACATTAATACACAGGTCACAATTAGTACAAATTGTGTACGTCTTCATCCAAAAGTGAGATCCTTTATATAAGAGACATCATCCAAAAGTGAAAACCTCAACTTATCGCCCAGGGCGGCCCGGTCGTCTCGGCTCATCGTTTGTGTTGGTTTTCCTACGAACCACATGGCCTCCCCCGCTTGTATTGAGAAAATTTAAAGGACGTCTATTCTATCCTTATAGTCAGCGCAGATAACAGCAGAAAGGACGTGGAACTCACTGCGCGGACTAGGCGAGTCTATTGTCTATGAATTACTAACGAATGCTGACGACTCATGCATATGTCAATGATTGACTGGGAAGCGGCCAGTGTCACGTGATCATTACTGGCATTGAATAGGACACGCCGTGGCCCAACCCTCGCCCTGAAAGGGACGGAGATGTGACCCCCCCCCCCCCCCTAAGGATTTTGTAGGATACTTCTCCGGCACGTTGTGCAATCACGTCACAATTTTCAGAAGCCTTTGAAGTATTTATTGCTCCTGTGTTGACCGCAAAACGTGTTCTTTGCTTCCCAGTTTCGGAGCAGTAGCGGCTTTCGAGGAACACTGCGCGGCGATCAACGGCCGGCGCGCTTGGTGGGCGGCAACCGGTGATGCCGCGCAATTATTGGCTGACTTAAAACTGCACGAGGTGAGTTACTCAGGAAGTTTAGACGCAAATTCAGTGATTCAGATACAAGATTCAGGGATGTAATAGGAAAGGTTGAGAGATTGAAAGTCTCAAGACCACAAGAACTTCAAGACCACAAGAACCTGGTACTTCGAAGGGCAGATCGGGTGGTGTACCCTGGATGTATGGGTATCTTCAGACCATCTTAAACACGTTTCATTGCTGTGCCTTTTCCTTATTGCACGTAGGCATGCACAGTTTTTCATTTTATTCAGCTGAGACGGATGTTGTTGTTCCCTAATACCAATGCGCAATAGTAGCTTTGTATTGTTGATCCATTTACACTTAAAACCTACGATATTTGTTAACGTCAGGTTATAGTTATGTACACATGCTTATGTGCATACGCGTGGTACTTATTTACCAACAGATCTATTTTTACTAACAAATTCTTTTCGGTTCAAAATCCGAAAAATATAACAGTGAGGTTTGGATACGTCACTGCTTAACAGTCGTTTTGAATCAAATTCGGCTTCAGGAGTCGGAATTGCTTCCACTCAAGCGGAGGCGAGCACAAGTCTGACGCTATCACTGGACCTCTGTCCATTAAACTCTCCTGACCGGCAAACCTGTGAATCCATTGATCAGAACAGTTTGAATGAATGCCCAACTATATCTGGCTTGATCAGCTCAGCTTTTGGCATTGCCTGCATGGCGACACTTGGTACTCCTCAGGCTTGTTACCAACTCGCTCGTCCCACGCGATCAGTGTAACCCTGCATAGCCACATGGACATTTATTGCACGCTGCATTACAAACCATGGTTCACAAGAACCGATATCAGCGTACTAACGGCATCACTAGATTTGGCGTGGAGTCGAGCTAGCTGCATCCGTTGCAGTCCGCCTACAAGTCTGCGTTGTTCCTCAATGTGGCGGAACGAGTCGATACCCCGCGATGAGAGACGGAGTCGGAGAAAATTCCAATGAAGTGGTCTACGACTGGGGCCTACTTAGGTGTACGACTAAGGGAGGACAGCCGATCTACCATTCTGAAACACAGGCTAGACCATTTTAACACAGGCTAGGCCATTTCCCAGTGCTGATAAATGCAAGTACCGGAATGAGCGATGGGTCTGCCCGGATCTGAGAGCTTCCCCGGACTGATCCAAAGGTTACCAGGTCACGCTAGCGGGTCTGGCTCCTCTGTAGCAGGCAACATTTCAGCAGGCGGACAGTGCCCGCCATCCCCCGGGACCTCACCCTGGCCTCTTGCGGCCCGTTTACCCGGGCACGGCCACTGGCAGCCGTGGCTTCACCCTGGCCTCTTGCGGCCCGTCAGCCCGGTTACAGCCACCGGCAGCCGTGGCTACACCCTGGCCTCTTGCGGCCCGTCAGCCCGGTTACAGCCACCGGCAGCCGTGGCTACACCCTGGCCTCTTGCGGCCCGTCAGCCCGGTTACAGCCACCGGCAGCCGGGACCTCACCCTGGCCTCTTGCGGCTCGTCCAACCGGTCACAGCCACCGGCGGGCCACCTACCCGGGTACAGCCACCGGCCGACCGCCTACTCGGGCACAGCCACCGGCAGCGGCCTACCCGGGCACAGTCTCGGCAGGCGGCCTACCTGGGTACAGCCCCCGGCCGGCTGCCTGTCCGGCCACAGCCCCGGGCGGGCTGCCTTGATGCGGACACTGGCACATGGATCACCTTCCGACCAGAGTCGCAAGAGGGAACCAGGGAGCCGGGAGACTGTCACATTGCTGGCTTCCAGACACTTACCAACACTTGATGGAACGCTCGTAACCTGGTACCAAAATGCCGTTGTTTGGTCTGTATCTGTTGGGGCTTGGTGTTCCAAAGCTTGTAGCACGCTCTCGATGGCCTCTGGCAATCAACACCGAATACCTCATTTGTGGAGACGTAATATCGCCAAAAACGTGATCCCAATAGCGGCCTAAGCGCATTAAAAAATAAATTTATTCAGAATGCTTGGCATGTGTGACTTTGGGTTCATAGTACCTGCTAAGCACAGCTTGTTACGTGCACCCTGAACCCACCACCCAAGTCGTACCGTCCAGTTCAACGGACAACTGCCTCCACCCCTTCGCCAGACAGGACTGCGGAGGGTTTTACGTGCCGCGCGATGCTGCGACACGGCCGTCTCGGGCCTTGGTTGACCTTCGTTAGCCGCTTGCCAGTTGACCTTTCCATTTCAGTCGGGCCAAACAACGCGTCCGCCCTGAGACTCGTACCCAGTGCCGCTGGATTGCGAGGCCAGCATCTCTCCCTCGACTACGGACGTGGCACACGGCCCCGTTCCATTTTGGCTCTCGCTGGTATTGGTGCCGGCTTTCAATGCATCCAATACATGCCAATTTCCGGGTACCGTAGAGACCACTCCATTTCCGTCGTCTGATTCGATTCCGGCCATTGGTGCCGCGTTG